TGTTGTGTCTAACGATGACTCTGCAAAAGTTCTGAATGAGGTGTCTGTACAATCGTTTTCTAGGGATGTAAGCTGTTCTATTGGGTACTTACCCTGATCATGATTTCTTTCCTATGTACCCGCATGTGTTTGATTTTGATGGCATTGTTAAGCTGATTGACAACCTCAAAGTGTCTTCATCCTGTGTATTGATAATATTAACACTAAGTTTCTAAAGAATACTGAAATTTGCAGTGCAATTTTTTACTAAGATTTTTCAGCAATCTATTCTTACTGGTGTCCTTCCTGAAGATTGGAAAACTGGCAAGGTGCTTCCACTTCATAAATCAGGAGACAAACACTGCCCCTACAATTATAGACCCATTTCCATAACCAGTACTCCTTGCAAAAAGTTAGAGCATATTATTTTTTCACATCTTGTTAAATATCTCGAATCCAACTCTTTTTTCTCGTCCTTACAGCATGATTTCGTAAATTTCTTTCCTGTGAAATACAACTTTTCGTCTTTACTAACGATTAATTTTACTTACATGATCGCGGATCCAAGGTTGACTGTATTTTTCTTGATTTCGGTAAAGCATTTGATAAAGCTTCTCACAAACTACTACTCTTCAAGCTTAGCAAACTCAACCTTGACCCTCAGATACTAACTTGGATTGAGTGTTTTCTTACAAATCGTTCTCAGTTTGTTCATGTAAATAACTCTAATTTTCCAGTGTCTTCTGTTACTTCTGGCGTTCCTCATGGCTCCGTTCTAGGTCCTTTGCTATTCGTCATTTACATCAATGATTTGCCGTTGTGTGTCTCATCATCGCTTAGTTCGTTCGTGGATGACTGCGTTATCTATCGTAAAATTACTAATGATTCTGACTCTCTCCTTCTTCAAAACGACTTAAATGCTGTTCTTGATTCGTGCAAGCTGTGGTTCATGATACTTAACACTAAAAAGTGTAAAACAATTAAAGTGTCTCGCCGCAACACTTCGCCTTTTATCTATCATCTTGATAACGTTTCCTTAGAATGTGTGACTTCATATAAGTACCTCGGTGTGCATATTACTTCCAACCTCCCCTGGCATATTCATATTAACCACATCATTGCTGATGCCAATTCTATGTTAGGCTACCTAAAACGTAACTTTTCTTTAGCGCCAGTTTCTCTCAAACTAATATTACTCAAATCTTTGTTTCGCTCAAAATTAGAGTATGCAAATTCAATCTGTGATCCTCGTCAGACGACGCTCACTTTTCATCTCGAGTCAGTTCGGAACCGCGGCGCTCGTTTCATACTTAATAATAATAATAATAATAATAATCCTTTATTTATACTTTCATACTTTTCATACTTAATAATAATAATAATAATAATAATCCTTTATTAATAATTATCACCGTACAGCATGTGTATCACACATGAAATTTCTTCTCTCCTTGCCACTGCTTTCTTTGCGCCGTAAGTGTTCTCGTCTATGTCTTTTCTATAAAATATACAATTCTAACCCCATTCGTAAAGAGAAGCTCTTCCTCGACCTACCTTACGCTTCTCCACGCATTGATCATCAGCACAAAGTCGGCGTTCCTCATTCTCGAACCTCAGCCAATCACGATTCTTTCATTCCTAGGACATCATCAGAGTGGAACCACCTTCCGGCGTCATAAATATTATTACCCTCGGTAGATGTGTTTCAAAGTGCTGTTATTAATTATTTTTGCGAAAGTGACCTGTGACCCATCATCTCTTCAATTACTGTTGGTTGTTGTTGTTTTTCTCTCACTCCTTTCTGTAACGCCCCCAGGGCCTTGAGGGTATTAAATAAATAAATTAAATTAGATTAAAATCAAACACTCCTGTAATATAATTTATGAAAGACCGTTCTTTGCCTTTGCTGCTACTTTTTCTGAATATATGAACCTCTTAATATGTACGAAATACAAATTTTGATCAGTTCATTCTTAAATTTCGGGTTCTGCCAAAATTTGCACCTTACGAATATACAGTGCACATTTTGTGTACTAAACAACTGTAATGTGCACGTAATATTACATATGATGTGCACACAAACCGAATGCAACATTTTAACAATTTTGTCCAAGTATTTATCCCCGGTAGCCTACTGATATGTCTGAGTAGTGGATATTACACACAGATGACTTTACTCATACAAGGATGGCTCGTATGCTTCCTTTTTGTATACCTTACGCTCTGCTATTAAAAAAATATATAAATAGCACCAAAATAATAAGGTGGGCTAGTTGCTATTAAAAATATATAAATAGCATCAAAATAATAAGTAGTGCTAGTTGGTTTTCCATCCGAACTCAACGCCTAAAAAACAAGGACAAGAGGACGAAAAGACAACACGTTTGCGTACTCGCAACCGAAAGTTTAATTTGAAAAACACGCTTATATGCGGTTTTAAATACACCACGCAATTGCCTGAGCCACCACTCTTTCCGCAAAAATACAAATTTCTTCTCAAGAAGAACTATAATGATCACTCGCTGGCACACTTGCTCGTGCCTCTTGTTTTTATTTCGAAGGCTTCCTGTACCTGTCTTTTTGTTTTATTCCTGAGCCTTCCGAGGATTTTAATCTCCGAAAAAGGTGGACTGCACTCGCAACTATCGCAATGCTGCGTCAAGTGGCCTGAGGGTGACTGTCTAGTGGCAGCAGCATGCGCCCTTGTACGGTCATTATCGCATCGCCCAGTTTGGCCCATGTAAGCCTGTGGCAACATATATTGGCTTGTTTTCCAAAAGAGGAACGGAGCAACAAGGGCAAGCGTCAGGGAGTAACCTTCCTAGGAGGCGCCTCGTTGCCAGAGGACATCCAGCACAGACTCGACAACGGGCCCAATTTCAGCGTGGAACCAGGACTTCCGCCTCCAAAGAAGCTATCGTTGGTCAGAAGCGTGGCGCAAAAGGTCCTTATCAAAGACAGCGACCGATGCAATGACACAGCACATCCACTCCGCCGGAGTGGATATGCTTTGCCGCACACGGGACTACAGGACGACAACCATGAAGACAGAAAACTTGACCGACTACTTCAAACTCAGCAAGCTCAGCCTGCTTACGTCTGACAAAGAAGGGGGCTTTGTCGTCATGCCGCAAGAAATGTACGCTGCCAAGACGAAACAAGCCATCCTAAAGAACGTCAAGCCTGTGCTGCCGGCTTTTCAGATACAGGTGAACTTTAGGGCTATGGAATTGTGCTGTGCACTACCTTTTCAGATGTTAGGAAAGAAGGTGAACTTCAGGAAAAAAACTTTCCCTTGGAATTTTCTTCGCGGCTAAAAAGCATAAAATGAACGTTCCGTTGAGGGCGATTGTGACGAAAGGGGATTTGTGGCAGTTTCACATAGCACCCTTGCCCAACCCCCACCTCTCCGCTCTGAAACTGCATTACAAATTCTTGGTGCACAGTTCAAAGGAGGTTTTGGAAGTCCTGAGTGGGGTCCCAGGGGAAAGTGTGATGGTTTGTCGATTGATGTAGAGGACTTCTTTTATTCTCTGCGCCATGAGACCCTTTTTAATGCAGCAAAACAATGCATCAAATCTAACCGTGATACGGCTTTCGTGAACACCTGCGGGATTAACGTGAAGGGCTCCATTCAACTTTTGTCGTTTTAGTTAGACCACACTTTTGTTTCCTTAGATGTGGAAAAAGAAGGCATCTGTATTGGGTCGCGGGTTGCTCCTGTCCTTGGCGACATTTTCTAAGCTCACTGCTACAATGCTATTTTTGAAATGCTGGGGGGAGAAGAGACCTTCAAGGTGTTTGGATACGTAATTACTACTTGGTCATTTCTCTCCGACACAATGAGCTCTCGGACGCAGTCAGAGCCGATTTGTTAAGCATTTTTAACGGCTTGCGCTCATAGATTAGAATTTACGCGTGAAAACACTTTGGAGGGAAAAATCCAGTTTTTGTATTTAAAACTTGAATTCTCGTTGACTACGTTCTTTGGGCCTATGAACCCCGCTTAAAGAAAGTTTTGCTGCCATACAACTCGGCCCACTCCAAACTGGTAAAAAAGGCATCGAAACTTCGTGTCTTGGAGCCTCTTTGACGAAATCAAGTCCTGACAAAATGGGAAGCAGCTTCCAGAGACAGGGCGACCGACTCTTCAGTGCGGGGTTTCCACACCAGCCGTTGGTTGACGTTGCAGAAGGCCTAATAAAGAAGCTCATCGGCGCCGACAAGAGCCCCCGAGAGCACTTGAGGCTAAGGCCGGAAGTAACTCTTTACTTACATACCTTGTCTCACAACTTAAAAAAAGTAGCTAAACGCTATAATGCCACAGAAATTTTTTTCGCTCCAAATAAGCTATCTGGTTTGTGGCGAAAAGTAAACGCCCCTAATTCGGGGAGTGATAACTGCAAGAAAAAACACAAAAACAAATTTGTGGAATCTCCACGTGTGTCGTGGATGACATTCCACTTTCTCGCGAGCGCTCTTGCGTGGGCCAAACTGGGCAATGCGTCAATAACCGTGCAAGGGAGCATGCTGCTGTCAACAAACAGTCATTCTCAGGCCACTTGGTGATGTATAGCAATAGATGCGAGTGCATTACACTTCTTTTGGAGGTTAAGATCCTCGGAAGGCATATGAATAAGGCAACAAGAGAGATACAGGAAGTTTTTAAAACAAAAACAAGAGGCACAAGCAAGTCTGTCAGTCAGCAATCTTTGGCACTTCTTGATAAAGAGTTTGTATTTTTGCAGAAATAGTTCAGCCTATGGTAATGACGTGGTGTGTTACGAACCGTATACAAGTGTGGGTTCTTCAAATTAAACTTTCAGTTGCGAGTGCGCAAACGTGTCTCTTGTTCCACTTGTTCTTGTTTCTAAGGCGTTCAGTTCAGTTATAAAATGTCTTGAGGACGTAGTGTGTAATCATCTTTTGATGTAATATTTTAATTTTTAATTGATGATATGTGAAAACACCTTACATCTGTGAAAATCAAAAACAATTCGAATGCACCTCTTTTTCTGCAGGTGGAATTTTATTTACGGAAGTCAGAATGTCCGAAAGTAAATTTAGTTCTCACTGGTGTAAACGAAACAACGGTATGTTCATCATAATTAGAGGATTGGCGTCTTTTAGCATGCCTCTCTGTTCGTTTTCTTGATATTGGCAATTACAAGTTTTCTTTGAGCAAATATGAAACATTTACTGTGTACATATTTTAATGTTACAATGTGTTTATGACAAGGTTAAGTGGGGGAAATTAAAGGGATCTTTTGGAATAATGACTTTAATTTAGAGTTAAAATGTAGGCCTTCAAACCATGTCTCAATACAAGTGTGATTGAACAATACTCGGATAAGCAAATCGGTAGATAATACCAAATAAGCGATTTAGTTGCAGAGGATAGCGATTCTGAAATTTCGGCTCAAATCTGATTCGTATCAGGATGTGCAAATTGTAGTTACAAATTTGAATGTCCAATCGAGTATTCATTACCGAAACTTCTAATTTCATGGCACAAGAACAAAAAAAAAAGCTTTAGGTACAACAAATGACGCCTATGATGGTATTATTCCGTAAGGGCAGCGGAAAGAGCGTCTAGCCGGAAATAGAAACGACGTTGGTAACCGCTTTTAACTACCAAAGATGTGAGACGCAGTTGAAGTATGTCAGTGCATTCACGCGAGAATATGTAGTGTTTTTAATGAACGGACCACTGACCTTCAACAGCAAAGCCAAACCTCATCACTCGCTGCCTGAGAGTGCAACGCTTTAGTAGAAGAGTTGGACTAAATTGATAGTTTCCTTGTTGTTTTGTTAATTATTTATTGTAGTATGGTCGTAAATTATGAAATGAGTTTGTGTAGCGTACAGATCTGTCAAGAGGTATGTGGATTATTAATTTATTAATCATAACATTGTTATTAAATTTTATTATTATTCTATTTCTGTGAAAAATGAAATAAATGCATATTAAATTAAAGTTCTAATTACAGCAACCGTACAAAGAAACAAACTCATGCGAATTAAAACAACACCCAGAGCATGCCACCCTGAATACATATGTACAAAAATTGTACAATGCGTTTTTCGAGAAGCAGTTCTACCTTCAAGACAAAACTATGGATGCTCCAAGCTCGGGTGCCGAGACGCGCGTTCCGAGGGCGACGCCGGTCGATTCCCTCGAGGGAACGGCGGCAGCACGAGCTCAGTCCGGGTGGCCCTCCGAAAGGCGGCGGGACCAAGCGGTGACCGATGGGTGCCCCTGAAACCGGAAGGCGGGTTTCGTCCCGTGGCGCTAAAGGGGGGGGGGGGAGGGGGGGTGTATGTCGAGGTGATATGGGTGGGCCCCGAGAGGCACTTGTTGTCACTCCCCGAACATGTGGTACTCGTGCTGGTACTTGGGGTTGCCGGGGCTAAGCGGGTTCAGAAGATTGGTTCAGGCCACGGCGGGCGCCTGGCCTGGCTGCAAGTAAGGCGGGAGTGGGTAAGCCGCGTGTGCCTACCGGCCTTCGGACCATTAGGGCCCACGCTCCCGCACACCACCACGGCGGGGGCCTGGGCCCTGCCCCCGCTATAGTTGTGGGCGGGGGGCGGCGCCAGGAACTCTCCCAGCACGTACATGGCCGGGTGATGAAGGCGGGGCAGGTAGGGTTGTCTATGCTGCTGCCTGCACCGTACACTGTGGGCCGGAAGTGCTTGCGGCGAAAGGGGGCGTCGTACATTCGCTATAAGGTATCCGAAAGCGTCTTCGACCGGTGCGCTTAATGTCCACACCGCCCACGTAGCGAAGGTGTTCCCGTCACGGTTGGTCGTCGTGCGGTTGGTTGCAGAAGCTCAGGCAAAAGAGATGTCGCCGTCGTCGTCAAATAAGAAACGAACTACTTTCTTTCGAAACGGTTAGTCATTCAAGTGATCTCACCGCAGACGGAATTGAGATCTAGCTATGTCCTTTTCGAGTACAGTCACCAAATTCACTGAGCCTGCAGGTTCGATTTTGCCAGGGAGCGCCACCGTCGATCCGCCATCTCCGAGGTCGTGATTTAACGTTTGTTTGGCTTGTGTATGCGGTCGTCAGTTGGTAGTGCGTGCTAATTTCATATCGTTGAAGCAGCTTCGTTGAACAGAATAGAGAGAGCAGTTTATATCGGGGGCGGGCCGTTTTAATTCCTTTGTTGCCGCCGAGTGCCGTGTCTAAAGGCTGAACCGCATGTGAGCAATTTAGCGAACGCCGAGAAGAGACGAGCGACGGCGACGAGACAAGCGACGACGACCCGCTTCGCTGTCGCTCGGTCACTCGCGCGACAAGGCAAACCGCATGAAAGCGACGGGAGCAAGCTACCAAGGCTATGAGCCCCGACGATTTCCAGAAATCTAAAAACCGAACGACGCGACGAGCGACCGTGAGAAATGAAATCTCCGTCGCTCGTCGCCGACTTCCGTCGCTGCCGCCGTCGCTCGCTAGATCGCTTACATGCGATTCACCCTTCACTGTCGCTCGTCGCGTAGCTCAGTTTTTGGATTTTTAGAAAACTTAGCGCTCATCGCTTTGGTCGTTTGCTTCCGTCGCTTTCATGCGGTTTGCCTAGTCCCGTGAGTGACCGAGTGACAGCGAAGCGGGTCGCCGTCGCTTGTATCGTCGCTCGCCAAATCGCTTGCATGAGGTTTTTAAATCGTTAGGGCTAATGAAAAATTCGACGCCTTTTTCATTAGCTGCGCACTCGGTGAGCCGGACGGTATGTTTCTCCACAGAACGAACACTAAAGGCACGACGAACGACACGGAGGCGATGGACCAACACGGTTACACGGCCGTAGTGCAGAAAATCCGCTAGAGAAAAAACAATAAAAAAACTAGGAAAACAAAACAAAGAGTAATCACACCGTGCTACGAAAGCCCCAAAGTAGAAAATCACAGTGCTTGTAAAAGAGCAACCGCCGTGGGCACGGCGCGCGACACGGAGCGCCGCACGGAGCCGACGGAGCAACGCGGCCGTGGCGGAAAAGTCCGATAGCGACAAAAACGAACTAAAACACACACAAAAATTATTCCTACGGCGCTTCAAAAGCACCAAAGTCTAAGAATAACCCTTAGATGCGGCCAAGAAGACCCCTTAATGTTGTAAAATGCTGCTAACCCACGCTGAAAGATCAGGCCAGGCGGCACCTAACACTTACGTGGGATAAAAGGAGACCTCGAAGATAGCGATCGTGGTGGCCGATGACAGCGCACCTAGCGAGTGACGTCAAGTGAATGTCACTTATAGGAAGCGTTCTTTATTATATGCTAATTTTGTTCAGCTATTCAAAATGTTTATTTATTCGAAAACTTGAACAGCAAAACTCTGAAGGCCGAGTAGAATTCTTCATGCTATTGCTCTATAATTCAACTTCGAAACTCGGATATTCGCACACACATTTAGCCGGATGTTATTAGGGTAACGAAGAAAGTACTGTCCTTCATCTTATTTTCTTCAACTTAACTGTAAGCGAGGCACGTAAACAAATGCAGGGTTACTTTGAAACAATAAAAATTTACGTGTGCACCTATATCTGAAAACTCTCACAAAATAATGGAAGTATAATGTCTGCCCTTAGAATTATTAGCATTGCAAAGGGATAGCTAAACTAAGCGTGTGCTTTGATGTATTTCAGAAAGAAGAGGAGTCTCACTTTGAGAAAACGGACAGCAAATATAGAGTAACCCTTGACCCAACATTTACGCTGGGAATGTTTCAGGCATGGGTTGAAAAAAATATAAATTTTAATAATGATGACATTGTATTCTTGCTAACCAGGTACGAACTTTATCACTAAACGAAGAAATTCTTCGGGCATTTTCTCGGAATTGAATGTAAGCATATAATGATACATTGTATTTCTTAAAAAAAAAAAGCATCCTCATTGAAGATCACATTGGAAGTGGAATTAGTCCAAATGGTAAGTTATCCAGCACTTATATCCAGTGGTTACAATGATATGTTTTTTTTTTGTTTTTTTTTTAATACAGAAAACATTTCCTGAATTCAGACTGTGGAGAATGCTAGTCCAGAGCATTTCATTTCATTTCATTTCATTTTTTGTTCCCTTAAAGCGCCCGTAGGGCTTTACATAAGGGGGGGCTTTGACAGCAAATAAAAACAAACAAAGAAAGAAAAAACACAGGGTTAAAGGTTGCTGAATATCGAAAAAATTAGCAAGTGCAGCTCTGAATCCAGATGAGTCTTGAATTGTAACAATATGTTCTGGCAGAGAGTTCTATTCTGAAAGTGATAATTGCAGTGGAGAGAATTTAAAAAGGTTGGACCTTGGTGTTGCCAGATGAACTTTCTGAAAATGGTCTGTACGAGGAGAAATGTGATGAGCCGCAGGACAGTACAATTCTCTCTTTAAAGGGGCCTGATAATACAAAGCGTGTAATGAAACTAGTCTGGTCAGTTTCCTTCCTCCCGCAAGCAGTGGAAGGCCGAGTTCTTTTTTTAGCGTAGTAATGCTAGTCTGTGTGTAGTTCTTAAGAATGAACCGAGTTGCCCTGCTTTGGATCGACTCTAATTTCTGTATAAGGTAAGCCTGGTGGGGGTTCCATGTTGTAGATGCATACTCGAGCTGCGGGCGAACAAGGGCAGTGTAAGCTACGAGTTTTGTCTCCCGGTTAGCCATATGTAGTGTTCGTCTCAAAAAACCGAGGCTTTGGTTTGCCTTTACAACGATCTGATTAATATGAGCTTCCCATGATAAGTTTGACGTGAAATGAACCCCAAGATATTTGTACGTGTGCACATGTTCAATGGGTGTATTAAAAAGAGAGTAGCTAAACACTGTGGCTCTTCGCTTAGTGTTGAAGTTTAAGAATTTAGTTTTTAAGATGTTGATTTGCATTTGCCACATTTTACACCATGTTTCTAAGGTAATCAAGTCATTTTGAAGTTGAATGCAATCACTAATGCAAGATATTTTCCTATACACCACACAATCATCAGCGTACAAACGGATGGTTGAAAGAATACTATCGGGTGAATCATTCACGTACAAAAGAAAGAGCAATGGACCCAGCACGGTCCCCTGCGGCACTCCCGATTTTACTTTCTGATGTGATGAAGATTTGTAATTATAACAGACACTTTGTGAGCGATTGAAAAGAAAATTCGATATCCAGTCTATCACGAATGGCTCCACTTGGAAAGCACGTAATTTTTGAACTAGTCGATGATGCGGCACCTTATCGAATGCGTTTTGGAAGTCAATAAAAATTGCATGCGTCCCAGTTTTAAAATGCAGGTTACTGTGAATATCAGTTACAAATTCAAAAAGTTGGGATTCGCAAGAGTGAGACCGACGGAAGCCGTGCTGGTTTACAAAAAGTAGGTTGTTTGCTGACAGGTGATCCATGATATTTGAAAATAAAACATGTTCCATTAATTTACTCGGAACACTCGTCAGAGAGATGGGTCGATAGTTCGCGAATTCATTCTTTTGACCATTTTTAAAGACAGGGGTGACTTTTGCCATTTTCCAATCAGCAGGTAATTGGCCACTAGTTAGGGATTGCTCAAAGATAGAACAGAGGAGAGCGGAAGATTCACATTTGCTAAGCTTAAGTAGCTTCGTCGTGATATTGTCAGGACCGGGGGCTGAGTTTGTTGGGAGATGTTCTATTAGTTTCTGAATTCCGCTCACAGACATAGTGATTGGGCACATTTCTGTGGCTATGTCGTAATTAGGCGAACGCTCCGGTAAGGGGAAAATGTCTTCAGAAAACATCTCGCTAAAAAAACGACTGAATTCCTCGCACACTGTACCCACATCGAGCTCGTCTCCCGCAGGATTAGTGAATCGGTGAGGCTTCGACACTTGCTTAGGGTTAACCGCTTTCCAGAACTTTTTAGGGTTAGCTGTCATAAGGCTGCGGAGGTCTTCGTTGTAAAACTTGTTCTTCACTCGACGTATCTCTGTCTTGCATACTAATTGGAATTCGTCATACTTTGTCCACGCAGAAGGGGACAAAGACAATTTAGCTGTTTGAAATAGTCTCCGTTTTTTATTCAGTAGTCGTTTAAGGCGGTTCGAAAACCAGGGTTTCTCAATAGAAGACTGTATATTTATTTTTGGAATAAACTGATCGGGCAGATCAAGTAGCTTTTGTTTGAATAATCTCCAGTTTTTGTGAACTGTCCTAGAGTCAAAGCCAACCATGTAAATACTTGAAAAGGATTGCAAGCTACGACAGAAGTCATCGACGTTAGCCCTGGAGTAATCATAAATAGCTTTTACCAGCGGACTGTGCTTTTGCGTAGGAAGAGCAAGTTCAACATTTAGGGAAGTATGATCACTGAGCGGTTCCATAAAGTTTACCGAAGCTATAAAATCTGGTTCCGAAATAAAAAAAAAGATCCAAGAAAGCAGAGTTACGAGTTGGCTTGTAAACCATTTGAAAAAGAAAGAAGGCGTTTATCAGATCAACAAAATCCCGACTTCGCTTTGAAAGTTTATACCATGCATCAAAAGATATGACATTTGGAACGACCGGCCATTTTATTTCGGGTTAGTTAAAGTCACCTGAGAGAACTATGGGATCATTTGGATAAGAACGAGCAAGGGTCTCAAAGCAATCATAAAGTAATGGCGAGAAATCTGACAAGTCAGGTGGCTTATCACATGCGATTACTAAAATACAAACAGTAGGCGTCCTAATCCTTACCCAAACACCTTCAAAACTTGATATTATATCACACTTTTCAACATGCAAAGTACTTCTAACAGCAATCAACACTTCCCCTCCCCACCGCTATATCCTATCTTTCCGGATTATAAAATACGAGTCACTTAGGATTAATTCGCTATCTGCAATATCTGGAGTTAGCCAAGTTTCACTGATGATAACAACGTCTGCAGAGCAGGAGTGGACAGCAGAATGCAGCGCTTCTTGTTTGGCATAAACGCTTCTAACATTGGCAATAAAAAAGTTTAAGGTTGATAATGGTCTTTTCTGTTGTTGGGAGGATGACTTTCTGGTTTCCTGTAGCTATGCGGGAAGCTGCATAACACGTGCGGTTTCCCGGTCAAAAATATATCGCAAATTTCCGATAATTAGTTTATCGTGGCGAAGCTTGAAGTCACGAGCTTGTGCTTTTGCTAAAGAAAGGAGCTCTTTTCGTGCCTTACGGGTCTCTTCCGAGTAATCCTCGCTCAAACGGAAATCAGTACCTTTTAGTTTGTTTGCTTGTGATAGCACGAGTTCTTTATCTTTAAAATAATTAAATTTTACGATGATGGGCCTGACTGTCGTGGAGTTATCTTTGAAAAACCCAATTCTTTGCGCCCGCTCGATCCAAGGGGGAGTATCTTGACACCAAGATTTTCCTCGCAAACGGAAACTATTTTTTCTTCAGATTGCTTCCAGGTCTCACCACGCGCATCAGGTAGGTTAAAGAAAAGCAAGTTGTTTCGTCGCGAGTGATCCTCAAGAGTGCGTCGAATTTACACAAGTGATACGAAGACGTCGTCGCGCGCATGTCTAACAGAAATGGGACAAACATTCGCTCAGGCCCTTTGTACCTGATATCTATTGACATGTTCTTGCGTTTTTTTTACGGTTTCCTTACTACTCGTCATTCCTTCTTGGACTGATGGGCAGTAAGGACTTGTGCGAGAGCTGATCCGCCCCCTTCCGTGGGAGGCAGCAGTTTCTTGCTGGTTCCGGGATCTGCAAGCGCAGATTTCACTGCAAATGCATAAACCTTGGGGAAGGGGACTACGACCTGCTCATGGCGAACGGCGTCAGCAGCTTTAAGTGCTCGACGTGTATGAAGCGCCTGGGATCGTAAGAAACGAAGGTTGGTGACGTCTACTCGTCTATTTCGATCGAAGAAATTGTTTCGCACAGCAACGATGAATCGCCCTTACCGAGGCATATCTTCACATGCTTGTAGCCCAGCTTTGCAACAAAATTGACGAGCAGGTGAAAACATGAAGGTGCTGAAAGCAGCCAACGATGCATTATGACTGCAGCTTTCGCCAAACACGGAACTACTGCGCAAAGCATTTACACCATCGGAAGTGCGAGGTTTGCCAGTAAGACAATCCAGTAACTTCGCTGCTGTCTTTAAAAATCCCGAGCAAGTCTACAACAAGCACCGGTGTTGGTAGTATCGGCAGACAATCATCTAAACCCCTTTCTTTTCCCGCAACTGTCAAATTCGACAACGGCCACTCAACCAGACACGAAGAGGAATAACGTGGACGCCAAAGGGTTCCAGACAATCATGCAAAAGAAAAGGGTCAAACTTGCCGAAGGAAGGAACACCGTCAGCAAGCTGAGCTCCGTACCGCGCCAGCCAAGACCGTCGAGCGCTCTTCATTTCCCGGATGAATCCACTTAGTACTGGGTCGGACATTACGGAATTCCTGTCTGGTGTTCTCAAAGGCAAGTCAACGAAGTGCACCGAGCTTGCAACTAAACATGATAGTTATGCGTCTTTTCACGTATCGGTTGACTACGGTGACTTTGATGAAGTTAACCGACCTGACATTTGGCCGAAAGGGCGCTGTTTACGGCACTTTTTCGGAAATAAAGAAATCTTGGCCACTTCGGTCGATGAGCGTCAAACAGTGCACTGTAGCTGATTGCTGTAGCTAAGTATACGTTGAATATTTGTTTTAGGCACTGTACATTGTTATACAAAAAAAAATTATTTGGACATGATTTAATGGTATTCCTCTTTATATGGCTGTGCTATATTTCTCAAAATTATCTTCATTACAACTATATCTAACAGAAATCTCGTATAAAAGGTGGGAATCACGGAAAGCTTCCTTCGACACTAAAATATTATCTATAGAAGAACTCAGCCGCATAAACACCATGTCAAAAAGCCGAATTTGTCTCTTCAATTGCTCTTATACAGAAAAATAAGTTTCCCCTAAATTTTGGTTTGTCGTAG